GCAGTATTTTCCAAGAGACTGAGTGGTAAAAGGGAGTACAAACAAGGAATCAAGAGGGAACACAGGTCACCTTGAAAGTATGCTGCTTGAAATCAGTGTGCTGGAGTGCCTGCCCTTGGAGGTAGGCTGGAAGCATCATGTCATCACAGCCTTTCTGAAGGAGGAACACAAGGAACACATGCTGTGACACAAGAAGGAGAAGCTTCTCAGACTAACAGAGCAGCCAGAAAAAATCATCAAAGGCACTGCTGCCAAGTGCACAGGTGTGTGGAGCACTGTGGCTTCTCAGGTGAAACCTTTCATGTCAATAAACCACAGCTCCCAAACAGCTTAAAAATCCCACAGAAAGAGAGCCAAGAACACTTGAGGCCTTAAGTGAGTCCATAAAATTTTGTGAGTAGCTTTCCCACTGCCATGACACTATTTTGGAGCCAGTCTGACCAAAATAGAAGTTCACATGAAGTTATGGTGATTCCTACACTCTCCCTGGTGGAACTGTGTGTATGTTAGCAGGATGTTCCTATAGTGAGCAACAGATAACTGTGGACAGATTCTTCTCTGGCACATCTGGCTGGCACATGTGTACATTTGGGCTGCTCTGACCAGCCAGCCCTGACACTGGCCAAGGTCAGTTGTTTTTCTGGAGGCAACAGTAATGGTGGTGAAGCTGCAGAATGATGTGTGTCAAGCAGCAGCCACGGACGGGTTGTATTAGCTTGTGTTCAGTGCAGTGGGATGGAGGAAGAGTTGGGGAAGTAGGAAAAAAAATCCTGAGAAGAATGAAAAGAGACAGTATCGTGTGACAAAGCAAGCACCTTTAACACAGCAGAATTTAATGCCATTGCCTGTGCTCTCAGCAACCCCTCAACCCTGGGATGCAGTGGGTCTTCAGAGGTTCCCCATGCCAAGCTGTCCCTGAGATTTCAGGGACTATAAATACAGTGAGCAGACTAGAAAGGTTATTGTTATCTCTTTATTACCTGTTTTTGGAATCGATATGGCAATTGTTCCTCTTGTTAGCAATCCTGATCTGTGCCGTGGAGCAGACAATGAAAGTAGTGACAATACTGTAAACTCAAGGAAAGTTACATGCAGCTGTTTACCCTAGGAAGAAAAAGAAACCCAGGAAATTGTACTGGCTTAGAGAACTACTGTGGCTGTACCTCTCCTGCTGCAATTAACAGGCACTATATAAGCCCTGTTCCTGTTTCAGCTGCTATAACAGACAAAAAAAACTCCAAACCCCCAAGAAATATAACTGCAGTCACCTTATCATCCCGCTGCATCAACCAGTTTCTGCAGCACAGCTGTGGTTAAGAGAACAGCTAAAAAAGAAAATACAGCCAAGGCACCTTTATTTTTCTTGTTAACCTTTAACTTGAAAAAATAAACGTATCTGGCATTCTTTCCCTTGAGACTGCTGGTGTTCTGCTAAGCAGCTGAAGTGATGTGCATGACGTGGCAGTAGACAGATCATGCTGTGTCCATGAGGTTTGCTGTATCAGATAGCAAAAAACTCACAGCAGTATTGTAGCTTGCTAAAATCCTTTATACAGCTCTTTGAAATGTGCTGTTTGCATCCCTCTGGCTGGTGAGATCTCTGAAATAAAAGGGAGATTGTACTCCAGAATAAACTAACCTCTATTCAGTGGTGCATTTTGCAAAACCTAATGCAGAGAAAGTAGAGTAAAACCCGAAGGTTATTTAATCTCGTATTTCAAGATGGAGTAAGGTGTCTCCAGTTACTCCCCTCCCCTCAAAGCAAGAGTTTGGTGTGATGGCTATGACTCAGAAGTTAATTTGCTTGTGACTGAGATGATGTAAAAGTGGAAAGTGGAAAATGTATCAATCTCATTTGAAGCCTCTGATCAAGGCAGGAGAGGCCAGACAATAGCAAGCTGCTCTCCACCATTTCATGGAACAAATGTCCTTCTTTGGTAAGTCTATTGAGCAAATCTTACTACAGTGAACTCTGCAAAGCAGCACCAATAAACCTACTCAGCCCTGCCCGATTTGGTGGCCTCTTTTCCTGAGGCCTTGCAAAGCTCTGTGATCCCTTGTCCTGATGTCCCTGGAGTCCTTGAACATTACTGGTCTTCTCCACAGTGCTTTTCATTAGCAGTGAGCTACTTTATCCTGTGCCTGCCTGCTTCATCCTCCTGACACTTTGTCTGGTGCTTTGCTGGGAAGGTCAGCCAGGCAGAACAGTTCTGATGTGTTTGGGAGGGAATAATTTATCCGTCAAGCTTTAATCCTTGAGAAATAAGTTCTTGGGGGGGGGATTTTGCAGGAAAATTGAGGTTAGTGGCAAGTCTCCAAGCAGGCACTTATCAGAATAGTGGAGAAGTTGATTAAACGAATCACATGGCAGAAAATAAGCTGAGCACACGTTGCTTTAGTCTTATGCTTACTTAAGGCGTGAGGCTCATAGCCACTAGGAGTTTTCAGTCCCTGAGCCAGGGAACAGGCAAGTGTTGCAGAGACAACGTGACTGAAGAGCAATGATATGCCACAGTGGCAGCCAACACGAAGCTCTGTTTTGCCGTTTGGCCTGGAATAAGTCAACATTGGCCTGGAGGATTGCCGAACTAGAATAAAGCCTGAGCTTTGGGGAAGCATGGACAGGACTGCCTGGAAGTACCCAGTTGGGTAAATGAAGGTGTGTAGCCTCAACCCACAGTGCTCACATACACTGTGGAGCAACAAAGAACTGGCAATTCACTGCTTGGTCTTAACTGGAAGAGAGCAAAGGATGCATTAGGACTGTTGTATACCTTCAGGAGGGGGTAAATTAGGACCCAGAGCTGGGTCACCATGTCAGAAATCAGCATTTACTTCTCACCATTCCCTCACACTTCTGTGACATTTGCTAATTTCCATACCTGGAATCACCTGCTGTAGCTACAGACTGTAGTTACAGCTCTGAGGTGGTGGGAGGGCAAACTCTTTCATGTTGCTGTAGTTCCCAATGTTTCTTTGTTGGTGACTTTGTTGGTGTAAGACTGCAGGTAAATAGTCTGTATGTACAGTGGGTCTGCAAGTATGTGCTGAAAGGTCATCTTTAGGGTATCAACCGTAAGCATATTAACTGAGATTTTTTTCTTCTGTCTCCATCTGGTGCTGTCCTCCAGCAGACTGCTTAGAACATGCTTGTGCTTGTGTTACTTGGGAGCTGAGTGTATAGACACATCCTTTACATTATGGGGGTGTCAACGGCCTGACAAATGCAGGCATGTGAGCTGAAACTATGACGCTGTTGCTTGTGTGCCCTGAGGAATGGAGCACAAGAACAGGGAAAGGAGGGAGAAACAGTGTTTCCTGGTTACAGGCCAGGTACAAGTTATCTGGTGTTTTAGAGAGACCACTGTTTTTTTCCTGCTTCAAGTATCCCTGCGCAGCGGGAAGCAGGCTGTGCCTCAGCACAGCCAGTCCCCCTTCACAGGTCATGACTCGGGCAGCAGCTGGGCAGGGTGCTCAGGGAAATTAAGCTTTAGCTACCTGACGTGCTGTGCACAACCCTCAGGGTAGTGACGTGGGGGGAATGGGTCAGTTCAGAAGAGTTCATTAGGAAAGAGGTGGTCCTTCCAAGAATGGAGTGACAGGGAAGAAAGGTGCTGCTGCCCCAGCTAGCTGTTATGAGATCACTACAGCTGCCCTGCAGGAGTGAGATGAAATGGAAATCACTGATTTCCGAGGCTCCCTCTCACTCCAGCCAGGGCACCAGATCCCCTTGCACACCCACCTGTGCATCAGCTACATCTGCATACACCTTTACTCTGAGCTCTTCTGGAAGTATCAAAGGGACTTCCTGTGTCTAAAGTGTTCTCTTAGACCAAAAAATCATGTTTTAGAGAAAGAAAAGTCAGCTCTATTGGGTGACAAATATTAAAATAAACTATTTGGAAACGAAATTCCGATCTTCTTCCACTTAATCCAGTACATTTTGGTGCCTGCCTAATGTGTCAGCAAACTCTGCACGGCCTCTGGAAAGTCTCTGTCTCCTGCTGTCTCACAGCCAACTCTGGCTGTTCTCTGTCTTCTCTGGCTCCTCCACTCTGCAAACCTGCCTCTGGCTCGTGCTCTCTGTCCTTCGCTCTGCCTGCCCCACTGTGCCCACAGGAGGTTTCTCCCAGCTGGTCCTTCCCTGAAAGTGACTTCTGCCATCCCACACACATCTTCTGGAAAATCCTGCCCTGGAGAGCAGCAACAGGTCCCTGCTGCCTGGCAATGCTCCTGAGCACTGGCACCTTCCACACCCGCTGGGAAAATGGGCCTCAGCTCTCCTGCAGGGCAGAGGGGTGCCCTCACCTGCTGGTGGGTTTGAGGCATTCCCCTGATTAACAGAGGGATGCAACCCCCCTCCATGTGGTCTGTGCTGTCACTTGAGCAGGCAGGGGCAGAGTGGCCACTGACAACCCATGCCTGGCATCACTGTAGCTGACCTGATACAGTGGGGCTCAGCACTGTGAGCACTGGCAGTGAATGTCCACCTGAAAAGAATCATGAGGACAAAAGTCAATTGTCTTCTCAATGCTGACCCATCTCTTGATGAAGGGAGCAGCCACAGACAGATCCCACTCTGTCATTTCTGTTCCTCTACTTTCTTGCTCTTCTCCTGACTGCTTCTGTCCCTGCCTGTGTGCTTTCTTCTCTGACCCCTTGCTCTCACACTCATATACGCAGAGCCTCCCTCACATGCTTTCTCTTCAGGCCTTACTGTATGTAGCTCCCTGCCTTGGGCCAGGGCAGCTTTATTCTCAGCTCTCACTACAGCAAGAGCTGTTTTCTCTTTATACTTACTCTGAAAGCACAGTACCAAAAGTACATGGTGGCTTTTAGTCCCTTGGCAGTGACCTGATCACAGACCAACCTGACAGGCCATGGCATCTTTTATTAACAGCACTTTCTCACGGGAGCCCTTTGGCACTACCAGGAGCCGTGTTCCCTACTCAGTGACTGGCTCTCACATCATATAATTCTCTCTTTCTTGACAGATTATGTTATAACCTATGATCACAGAAAGTCCTGATCCTCACGTTTCTCTGCTGTCACCTGTGGGCTCCTCCAGAGCCGTGAAGAAGGGGGAACTCCAGCCCCACCATGACAAGACCGGGTGAGAAGTGCCTGTGAACAGCCACACTTTGAGAACTAGTTTTAATTTTTATTTTTAGCAGTTATGAAGGATGGAAATAATGTTCTCCATTCAGCGGTGAACCAGAGGAGCAGCTCTGCCTTCCCTCTGTGGGATTAGATTAAAGATAGTTTCATTAATGCGGGGAAAGTATGCTAATTTGAGCCATTCTAAGCAAGGGATGAATGAAGCTCCCAGCACGTTACCAAGATTGGCTTCCAGGCAACACACTACCTCAGACTTCCCCTCAGATGGAAGGTGTCTTTTGGTGTGTCACATGGTGAGATGCCTGAGGTGTCTTGGCCTTCAGGGAGTAACGAACCTCTTCATTCCTGTCCCAATCAAGGTGGCTGTGCTGCCTGAATGGTTTGCCACATGTGGGGAATCCAGATGCACTACAGAACAAACAGCCTGGGCTGTAACTTATATGGTTCTGTCTTGCTTACCAAGACCTCTTCCTGTGTGTTCAACCTGGCTGGTTCCTGCCTGGCTTATTACTAAAGACTGATGCCTCACCATCCCAGCTCTATCTTGCCCTTACAAATCTCAGGCTAACCCCATATTTCCTGCCCAGTCTTGCTGTCCTTTATGTATGGCTGCCCTTTATGTATTCCCTTTGCCAAGAAAGGCAGTGGACTGAGCTGTAGCAGACACTGGTGCCTTGTGTGACTGCTGGCAAGTCTAGGAGGCCTAAGTCCTTGTGAGAAATTTGGAGTCTCTCCATTCAGTATAAGGGGGCTCCATCCACTTCCAGGGATGACACAGATACTTAGCTTTCATCCTGCTGGCCCAAACTAGAGTCCGAGGATTTTATTCTCTGCTCTGAACACGAGATTTAGTCACTTAGATTCCCTGGTCCTTACAATACTGAACACAGCTCATAGGAGCAGCCTTGGAAAGCACACCTTTCTCTTTCTGGGTCTCATGGAGGGTGATCATTTGGGCCTGTGGTTAAGGAGTCAGGATGGTGCCTGTGTGAAAGTCCGTGAGGTACCATTGTCTCTGCACTGGGAAGGCCTTTGGCAATGCTTGGCTTCCCTATGCAATCAATAAACCATATGCATCTTCCCTGTGAAGGGTTAATCAGAGCAGTAAGGGGGCTGCAGTGTGACTGTCAGGCACAAAACCACCACCTTTATTTGTCCTCCTTGCTGCTTGGGTCTTCCAGGAGACCTAAGTGTTATGTGATCCTTTCGCACCCCAGCCTCCCCCTTAACCCACACACTCTTGTCTGCACCCCCTTTGAGGGCAAGAACCTTGCTATCTCTTGTAAACCTGCTGTCTCATGAAGTGCTGCAGTGAGAGTAAGCTGGGCCTGCAGCAAACACTTCTGAGCATTTGTCACTGGAGTTGAACCACATTATTGTGAGGGAATTGCTGAGGGTAGGTAGGATAAACTTCTCCAAATTCAGATGGGTAATGTAAGGCCACTGTTGGCTTGGCTAGAGAAGAAAAAGATTCCCTGCCCCAAACCCTGTGGCTCATCTCCTAGTTATGCTGCTCTGTTCCTACGCAAGCTGTTGGTGTTGGCTTCTGCGTTCCCTGGAAGCAGACCTGCTGTTGCATCCTGCGGCTGCTTCAGTAACTCATCTTTCCTTCCATTCACAGGTCTTCCGTGCATGGCGACTCCACCCATGTGAGAGCTCTCTTATGTGAGTCCTCAGCAGCACATTGTGCTGTCTGTGGTCTATGGACACTGACTGCCATCTAAGCAACACCACAGCTCCCTCCTCTCCCCCTAGACGCCACTGTCTTAGAGCCTCCATGTGCATTTGCTATGACATACATCAGTGTTGATGAGAGACAGGAACACTGCCGGGTGATCTCGAGCTGCCAAAATAATCAGCTCTGTGCACAACATGGCTTAAAGGATTTTTCGGTTAGCAGCATGCATCCACTAAAGAGCCTAGACACTCACATTTTTTCTGGGGACTTCCACACTCTAGACTACTGCCACACAGGCAAGGCACCTTTGGCCGGTTCTGTGGAAAACCGGATGTATCGGAGTGTGGAGAACCTTCACTGGGCAACTGTTGCCGACTCTGGGCTGTATTCTCACTGCCGGAGCCTGGATAACGAGATCGTCTTTCGCTATAGAGGCACCAGTCAGTGGACAGAAGGCTGTGTGGATGTGGCCCCAGTACAGAGCACGTCGGACTCTCCGAGAAACCTTTCTCTCCGTGCTAAACAGACGTCTCGATCGGCACAGAACGTGCTCCTCCCTCCCTTTGCCAAAGTGCCTCAGTGGCTCTTCCCTTCTGCAGAGGAAAGAGCCCTACATGGGGATGCCAGAAAAGAGCTGAAGGAGAAGCTGAGGCTGCACAGCAGTAAGGTGGCAGAGCCCTGTAAGCCAGTGCGTCCCCAGGTGGCCCTGCCTGACCTGATGGCCCGGGAGTTCTTTGAGTGCCAGGTGTGTCAGCAGTGCAAGAACGGTTGTGCTGTCAACTACTGCACGGTGTTGGTGGAACACACTGCCCTCAGGCACGGCCTCACGGGGAGACAGGGACTGTGCTTTGCACACAGGATCATCAGTCCAGAAGACATCAAGCAGGAGGCTCAGAGGAGGCTTCAGCTCCGAAGGCAGAATAGCTCCCCCAGTTTGCCCCTTCAGCACACAGGGGAAAGCCATGAGATGGGCAAATCCAGAACAGCAGAAACCCTAGAACAATACAGTGGGGAAACAGATGGCAAAGTCACATTGGGACAGAGCAAGAAAGGTTACTGTAAAGGGAGGCTCTACATACCCACCTTTGAGGAATTTAAGCAGATGAGAAGAAAGGAAGGAAATTCATCTACCAGCAGCAGTGAGACAACGGAGTGCTTGAATAAGGGTCTGCCTGCAAACCAGACACTGGAGGAGGAAAAGAATGTCTGTCCAGAAGCTTTGGGGACCAAAGCTGTCAATGAATCTGCTGTCACAGCGGAGGATGATGACAATGTATTCCATGAAAACCACACCTCTGCTGGCTTTTCCCAGTATCCAGCCACATGGGATGGTTTCAGGATGAGCAGTCCTGAGCTGAAGGACAAAACCTTCCATACCTCTAGCCCAGATACATCGCCAGTCCCTATTTGCTCCAGTCCAATTCCACGATCACCTTTACAGGCAGTAGCAATACACAGAACTGGGCAGGAGATCTTGAGTGATGAGCAGCAGAAAGGAGAGACAAGAAAATTAAATGATGTCCTCCACCTTACAGGGCAGTCCCTGGCTTCTGAAGCCCAGTCCTCTTGCTGTTCATCGCTGCTGTTAGAAGCTACAGACTTATCCAGCTATGGAGCTAAGCTACAAAAAATGAAGGATGAATTCATAGGTTCAGCCTTGGAACTTATTAAGAAAAGGTAACATGCTCCATGGGGTCACCTGAAAGCAGTTCCATTGTTAATGATCTCGTCTTTCTCCTGATATGTACATTTAAGTCCTGTAGCATAAATGTGTTGTTGGCAGAGCCTTTGATCTTAGAGTCTCTGATAGCCACATGGACGTCTTTAAGCTGTTGAGCTTAAACTCCATCTTTGCGTAGGATTAAACATCAAAAAGCATTTTCATCTAGACTTCGCCTTTTTGTGCACCTTAATCCTGTAAAGACAGCAGCCATTAGTAGTTCTGACACCCAAATTCCCACCCGTTTTATTTCTGCATTAAATTGTTGAAATGTCTTTTTTTTTTTTTTTAATCATCTGTTAAAAGTAGAATACAGACGAGGGATACAAAGTACTAATATGATTCCTTTGAAGAAAGATGTAGAGTCTGTCCTACCACTGCAGGACATGAATTTAGATAGTGTGACATGCAGCAACAAGTGCTTTCACTTGCTGCCTGTATGAAGTGAACCAGCAAATAAGAGCAAGGTGGCTGCTATGAGTCTTTAATCACCTTTTGCAGAGCCACACAGCAGCGAGTGAAAGCGCTTGCAAATACCGCCCTTCTGCCAACTCAGTGTAGGCAGCGAGAGAAAATGGTTTTGTAAAGTCTTCCTTCATCTTCTCCAACCATGGTTTCCCCTTCTTTGGGAAAGATGTCCACAAGGACTGCTTTTTCTCTGTCTTGGTTTTGGACACTGCAGTCTTGTTACCTCCCTCCTGCCAAAGAGAAGTGGATCCCTTTCTATGCAGAGTGGCTCAATAGGAATCAGCAAAGTTCTAAAAGCTAAGGATTTGGGGCAGTTATCACTGTCTTATCACGATGGGAAAAGGCTGATGGAAAAAGGAGGAGGAGGAATAAGTGTTGGTGGAGTGGTTTATTTCCATGCACTTGGTTTTCATAACTGGCTTTGCCAAGAATTGCATTTGACTTGTTTCCCGGCTGCTTCTGCAATCCACAGATCAGTGTGTGAAATGCCAGGGCATCAGTCTTGTATGCTGTCTTGCTATTTCTGGAATGCATGGGCTCTGAGACTGGACTCAGGTTTTGGAGGAGGCAATAGTGACTTCTGCACAGGAGTGAGAGTCATCTGAAAGAATTTCTGTGGAGCTGAAGCAGGGTGACAAGCAGAAATACTTCTGCAGCTTTACATTCCAAAGGGAAGTGGGTGGTGTCAGAGCCCTAAATGCTTCCCTCAGCTGTCCAGCCCAGCCTTTGTGCTTTTTTTCTAGAGTATGAAAACCCAAAGAAGCAGATGAGAAAGCTGTGGTATGCAGCCATTTTCATTTTTATTTTTGTCATGGATGTGAAATGAAATACACAGCCTGGCACAAGCCAGGAGTGTAGGAAGAGCTGCCTCCATGCAGATCAAAGGTTTGACTAGTATCTGGAGCCCAAGGTGAATGCATAGCAAAGTACAGGAAATGGGTAGTGCATAAGATCTTTCTTCCCACTACTCTCCTGGCCTCCAAACACTTCCTGCCCGGGGCCTCTATGGTTTCAGTGTGGTTTCTTTGCTTATAATATCTACAGTGGTTTTTGTTTCTGTGAATGTGTTCAGTCTCCCTAGTTGGATATATTAAAATCTATGAAGTGAATTTATTAACACCAAAATGATAGTTGATCTAAAAATGAGAATGACAGTGGTTCCAGTATGAGAGAGGTTGTTTCATGTGAAGGAACCAGCCTGGCCTGTTTATTTTCCGTAATAATAACATCAGTTAATGGTAATTGTTATTGCCAAAGCACTGGTTAGTGGGAAACTTGAGTTTCTTTTTTATGAAAATTTCTCATTTTTCCATCATTTTCACCTGAGACTGTAATGTGCCTGAATATTCACAATTCAAGCTGATTGTCGCTGCAGGGGTGGGAGACTTTTTATCTGGATGTTTTGGGTCCTAAATTATGAATGTTGACATCCAGGCCACATTTTTATAACTTCTAAATGAAATGAGCTGAAAGCTAAGGATTCAGTCCCATTTCCACTGATACTGAGCTCAGCAAGCCCTTGATAGAGATGTTGTGATGGAGTGTCATAGAATAAAATACCTAAAATTGTCTTCTTTCTAGTGGTTCTGTGTGTCACAGTTTTACAAAGCAGTTTTGTCTGTAAGTTAACTGTCTCCCTAGCAATTCATAGTTAATTAGTTAAGACTCATTCAATTGACTTAATATTTCACCGGTGAAGATTTGATTTTCAGTCTTGAAATTATGGCAGCTTTAGGCCCCTTACTGGTCACTGTATACCTTTAATTTAGGTTGTAGTCCTGGCTGGGAAGGGGTGTTGAGATCTAGGTGGAAATCCTGTAAGCATTTCAATATATAGTCCACTTTCTGAAATTGTTAAATGGCAAATTGTTCAGGATAAGGGTATGCAAGGACCAGGGGGGTTGTGTCTATGAAATGGGAGACATGGTGACAATAGAAACCTGCACAAGGTAGCAAAGGACATGACTAAGAAAGAAGACTTCCTGGAAAAAGTGTTGTATTTGGGATGGCACCAGGGTGGTGGATAGAATACCAACTTCCCATAGTGGAGGACTTCAAGTCAGGAAGGGAGGTGACAGCAGGGAAGGCGTGCACAAAAATGTTTCCATGAGTCAGAAGGAGTCAGGAACATGTGAAAAGGGCTGAGAACTGCTGGCCTGAACAATGATACAAGCATGAAGAGGCCCATAGAGACCATGAAGGAAAGTAGGTGCATTTCCAGTTGTACACCACACCCCTGGTACTTCTGCTTCCATGAGATTCAGAGATGATGACCCAGAGGTTTAAAAAGACTTTCAAAAAGAACATATCCTCCCTGTGCTGGCCCAAGTGCATCACCTGTCTTGGGGGAACAAGAAAAACTGACACCAATCCCAGGCATAAACTCCTGTCCCAGTAAGTGGTTTGATCCCAGAAGGAAATATGCCAGAGTCCCCCCCTTCTGCAGCTCTGCATGAGGGCAGAGGGGACTGCTTGAGCAGGCAATGGTGCAGACCTGTTGGCCGCACAGATCTCTGCCAGGAAGAGGGGACTGGAGAAAGGGGCAATATCCTGTTTTCTTGGCAATGTCCCCTCTTCCTCCTAACCAGAGGCAAAGGTTAAAGCCTAAAGCTGTGGTTCTGCAAAACTGCTTATATCCTCCCTGTTTTGCCCACATCCCTCTGATCACACTCCTAGTGAGTGAAGCAGCACTTGCCCCAGCAGTCAAAGCAAGGATGAAGAAATCTCCTTTCACAAAAGGTGGGCTCTGCATCATTGCCTTTTTTTACCTCTCGCTGACCAGCCATGGGGTGGGTTAAATTTCTCAGTCTCCAGTAATGTTTCCTTAGCTCAGCTCTCTGGATACTATTGGCTCTTATTCCCACTGCAGGTCATGGCTGGAAATTTTTTTTAAATATTCCTATTGGTTATAGAAACCACAATAAGTGGTGGCATCTGGTCTGCAGAGAGCTGCTGTCAGCTTCACTTAACGGAGCAGTAATGTCCTGGAATACTTCCCATATTTAAGTGGATGATTTTGAAGCACTGTAAAAATGACAAATGAAAGCTCAGCATCTCTCTCAGAGTCCGGTCTGTGTGGTGGTAGGTGATGTGATCAAGAAGATAATATTTCAGTTTTGAGCTCTGCTACTGACCTTGGACACATCCCCGTTGCCTCTCTGTGCCCCTTTCTGTGTGTTTGAACCAGGAATGGTTTGAGCAGGAGCAGCTTTTGGAAAGGGTGGTTTTCCAGCAGTAGCACATCATCCTCGAGAGTTTTCTTGCTCCTTAACCTGTGCCTCCCCTCCCATGAGTGTGCCCAGCTGAATTGTTCATACTTTACCCAACTCAGTGAAACATTTATGAAACGATCTGGCTGGGAATACATGAGGTCAGGTATATTTTTTAAACCCATATAATTTCAAGACTGATTTTAGATCATAGCCATACAGACAGTTACACTGGGCTGAAGGAGTGGCATCCCAAGCGTGGCTGGGGACAGGAGGGAGGAAGGAGGCAGGAACCTCTCAAGCCAGGCCAGGCCAGGCCAGTACCATGATGTGACCACAGCCTTGCTGTGTTCCTGTGCTGCTCTTACTGCAGCCCTGTAAGGGGGCTGGCACAGTCCCTACTACAGACTGCTTCGTGACAGTGCTGATGTTGGTATCCCCTTTCTGCAGGCTGGGCAGTAGAGACCTGGAGGGTGACAACAAAAAGTGAAAGCCGTGAGCCTGCTGTTGGCACTGTTGGCACTGTTGGCGTTGCTGCGCAAGCGACGTCTAAACTCTTTTTAACTGGTAGTGTCAGCAGAGACCTGGAAGCATAAATGGGGGAAGATGAAAAAGCATCAGCTGGAAAGATGCAAACCAACTTTTCTGGCCTGACAACAGAGACGGCTTGTGTCCTGGGAGATTTGTTCCCTCTTCAGCAATTTCAGTATTGGCTGATGGTTTGTTATCGGAGCCAACTGTCACTCACTGTAAGGAGAATGCCCATCTGTCTCATGTGTTTGCTTGTAGCTGACACTGTTGGAATTGCATATTAGCAGTATGACCTATCAGCATAAGTTCACAAGTGAAGCCTTTAAGAAGAAGATTTTTCTCATAGGAGATTTTTGTTAAGCATAAAATATATGCATAACCTGAAATATGTTCCAGACTTTGGCTTCCTGTATATACAAGCATCCATATCCAGTCCTCACAACCTTGCTTTGTAAAGGGATCCAAGTCCATAAAAATAAAGTAAATCAAAAATAAAAAAAAAATTCTTCCAAGCAGGCTTCATTATGCATGGAAATAAGGTGTCTCAGAGAGTCTGTTAAAAAAATGTATCACAAGTAGTATCACAAATGACAGCCTGTCAACTACTCTGTCAAGTCAGTGGTTTTGCACCAGACTGTGTCTGTCTGGAGAGGTGGTGGTGTCTACAGAGAGGGGAACATGGGGTTGAAACAGGCTGTCTATATTGGCCAGACCAGGCCCTTGTTAGCTACAGACAGCCACAAATAAGGGCATCTCAGAATTGCCAAGTGAGAGCAGTAGACTCTGCCAATCTTTTCAGGTCTCTTAAGTGCACCAAAAGGCCTGATCCTGAGATCACTGAAAGAAGGGGGTATCTTTCCAGTGGTTTCAGTGGGCTTGGGATCATAAGAAATGAAAAACAGAGGGAAAGCTCCTTTAATCCTCTAATCCCTTCAAAGTATTAGGGTTTTTAGCAGGTTTTCTTCCAGATGAGCAGTATGGTTTCTGCGTTGACAACATCTCTTTAAATAGCAGCAAATATGGATATGGCCTACTTAAAAGATTTTCTGGTCCCTATAGAGAACTTCATGTTTTATGGACACAAAAATGCCCTGTGAACACCCAAGACTTGATAACCCAGACTGATGTTGGCAAAAGCGCAGTTACCCAATTTGCACTGTCTTAATTGAGCTGTGCTTAGAGCCCCTAAAATGCATATACAGCCATCCATGCTGACCAGTCATGATTCCTGCCTGCACTTGCCCTGAACTGTTGCAGATGGTTGTTAAAACTGGGGCTTGCTGCTCAGTCTCATCTGTGTCAGGAACAGCAGGAGAATGGCATCCATGATGTTCATCAGAATCTGCTTCTTCCCTTGCAGCTGCAATGCTGAGACTGCTGCCAAATCCCCCTCTAAGGGACAGTGTGATCTGAGGGAAGCTGATCTCCCACCTTCGGAGGACAGCCAGCAGCCCACAGCGATGTCCGTGGCAACAGAGACCTGGGAGAACAAGCCAAGCAATGAGACAGCCAGCGCCACTCCACCTGCAGGGAATGTAAGGGAGAGGAATTCACCTCTCATCTTGGGCACGTGTTCAGGATTTTTTTCCTCATTAGAAGCTCTGAAGGATCCCTTGGTTGTAGGATCTGGGCAGACTGGGAGCCTTTGATCTGAAATCACACCAACTTCCATGAGTGATTACACTCTGTTAGAAGCATTTCTAGTGCCTTTTTTTATTACAGTTAATGAAACAGAAGTCGGTTTTGTGCCCCTGCCTATGTGCCACTGCATTTCTTTCAGGGAGTTCAGCAATAATGACGTCATGGCTTCCAGAGCATCTGGGAGATCAGACTTCCTCCTAGTTCCCTCTTGGTCAAACTGCTGATGTCAGTAAGGCATGGAGGATGGAGCTGTGGACCCTGCAGCACCAAACCTTCACAGAGCAGAGGCAAGATAGCTCAGAATCCTGGGGACAGGCCCCTGGCCTGGGCTGTGCTGTTGACTCCTTCATGGGTATTTGACAGCCGTGATCCTCGTGTTCTCAGAGCTACACAACAGCAAAGGGAAAGGGGTTCTTGCTCTTAGGACTGAGCAAGACAGAGGGACCGGGGGAACAGATTCCTTAATGATCTTGTAGTGCAGCTGCATTTACAATCCCACTGCTGATGAGTTGCCTTTCCTCTCCTTTGGCAACTAAAGTCCAGTGGGTGCAGACCAGGTGCTGCTTTGACCACAGCCTTGCTCTAAACCCTTTCCTGCCTTTCTTGCAGACCCCCAGTCCTGGCTGTCGCCGATCCAGCTCCGACATAGTCCATGAGAGCACGGATGGTGCCAAGGCCCAGCGGGAGTGCCGGCTGCGGCCACACTTCAGTGACCCTATGCCGACAGACTCGGTGAAGAGGAAGCAGCTGGAGCTGAAGATCGCGGCTGCAGCGCGGCAGCACGCGCAGAAACGCCGGCAGGAGCGAGACTATGGTACACACTCTGCACTCTCAGAGGGGCTGAAGGGTCAGATGCTGAGCCTGCTGTGCTGCTGTAAATATGGAGTAACTCTATGACCTGGGGAAGAGAAGCATTCTGGGTTGTACCCAGGCATGCAAGAAATCAGGATTTGCTCTGCTGCGTCTCTGTCCCTGTATGGCAGGGGAAGGGCAGACCAAATGAGTTCACAGGTGTGGGCAGTGCAGGGGTGACAGGCTCCAGGCTTCACCTGGGAGCGATTTGCTTCTGACTCTCACCAGTCTCAGCAGCAAAACAGGGAGGGGAGGCAGCTCAGAGCCCTGCTTCACCAGATGTAGCCTGTCCCCGCAGGATTCCTCATGGTGAGAGATCCTCAGGTGAGCTCTCTGCAGCTGGCAGCGCCCGTAATGATTTGTGTCTGTTCTCAGGTCCAGTGGTAGCAAAAGCCAATCTCGGCCATGGTGGCAGCTTTGATGAGACTCGCCGTGCCCTACGTGGCTCCCTCCGCTCCAGGCACCATTGGAGCAATGTCAGCAGCCTGAGCACAGACAGTGGGATTGTTGGCGTGAATGATGCCCGGGACGACCTGGATCCCAGCGAGGGCACCCGGACCAAGTCAGCAGATGTGGAGAGGGCAGATAGTGGCATTGGCCAAATGCCAGCCAGGAAGTGGAGGAACAGGGCATCTGAAACACTGAGCTCCCTGCAGGCCTGGGAAGCCCATCGTCCCTGCACTGATTGTGGAGAAAGGGACCTGCCGGTGGAGACAGATGTTCAGAACTGCAACCAGAGGCGGGCTGACCTCTGCGAGAAGTGCCGCAAGCGCAGGACGGAGCGCAAGGAGTCTGTGCTGGAGTTTGTCAACACAGAGGCCAGCTATGGAGAGGACCTGCGCATCATTAAAGAGGAGTTCTACCTCCCCATGCAGGCGGCCGGGTTGCTGAGCCAGGAGCAGCTCCAGGGCATCTTCAGCAACATCCAGGAGCTCATTGACCTCAATGAGAACTTCCTGGAGATACTTCAGGAAGAGATCGATCAGGCCTTTGACCAGGTATGATGCTGTGTGCTCTAAAGGGGCTAGACAAGGCAGGCAGGAATAGGTTTTGTGTCAGTGGGGCAGCATAGGTGGAGCAGAGGAGCAGGAGGTAGGATTCCTGGGTTATGGTTATCTATCTAGTCCCTTGTTCCCTCAGCTATTGTAAACTAGTGATTTCAGAAGCTGTGTGCCAGGTCATAGCTGCTGGCCCCACTCTCTGCCGTGGTAATGCCACTGACCTCACAGGCCACCAGCAGTCCTGCTTATTTATCCCATTAACAGGACCTAATGGTCCCATTACCAAAGTTAGCTCTAAGCTGGTTAGCCTGGATGCTGGTAAGAGTGTGACCATGGGGGCACAAAGCTCAGCTTGGTCAGTCTCTCAGCCATGCTCTTGCAGCCCTGAGCTGACTCGCTTCATGCTGGCTTGGCTGTGCTTGCCTTGGCTTGCAGTTTACTGCAGCTTGGCTCTAGGCTGGCTGCAGGGCCAGGCAGCACAGGCTGCTCCCTGCTCTACAGCTCTGTGTACTGGCTGTGTACCACCCTATGCACCCTGCCTCGCACAAGGAGCTTTCCTGCCCCACTAGCATGGTGGTCAGAGGGCAGAGAAATCGAAGTAAGACTAGAGCAGCAGACAGTCACTTCAAAGAACATTTAAACAGCTCAACACCCTCTTTTCTTCAAGAAACCAAACCCCACTTGTTGCTGTGTCGGTTTCTCCAGGGTGTTTTGCTCCCTAGGAAAACATCCCTTCTCTCCCTCTCTGAAACCCTGCTTGTCAGACTGAGTGACACATGTTTCAAAAGCTGGCAGTTTGGACAACCACTCGTGCACCTGGCACAGTGAAGACATATGTGCACAGCCCGTTTGATGGTCCCTGTGAATAATTTATTGAGGCAATGGCTTCTACAAACAGCCATGGGTTTCCCCATCTCCTCCATCTTGCCTTGGCAATCAGAGCTCAGTACTGTACTGAAAAGCTGCCAGCAGCCAGAGAACTGTTCCCTCTTTTGCTGGTGAAATGAGTAGTGATTGCAGAGCATGTCAGCAGCATACACCTTGACAGAGTTAAGAGCATTATGTGGCACCAAATTCTTGCTATTCTCATAATTTATTATTCATCCAGAAATCAGAGGACAGTTTACCATGGTATTTATTTTTCCCTCTAGGCATCAAAGTAGGCCAGTAACACAACTGAAGGAGACTGCTTCCCAGCCAGGCCAGTTGCTGGGAGCAACTGCAGAAGTTGTTAGGTGCCATGTGTGTTACTGAGTTACAAGCCTCCCCTACACATTTGCTCCTGAATGCTCTCTGTTAATTTATGCACTGCTGCAGGGCCCCAGTACACGCTCTTGAATAGAGGCTCACTCTGGCCTTTGAGCCCCTGCTCTGGTGAGCTGGCTGAGTGCACAGGAGGAGGGAAGACAGCTCTTTGTTGTAGAAGAGCAAGCAGTTAGACCAGCTTTCCTTCCCCTCCCCACCCACTGCTTCCCTGGAACCTGCAGGGACTGCCTTTCCACTAGGAAGGGTGAGCCCAGCTCCACCTTTGGTCTGGTGCTCACCAGATCCTGCAGCAGGGTCATGCTGACAGGACTGAATGCAGGCTCTGTGGCTGTGTTTCTCCTGAGCTAACCAAGCAGGGGATCTATTGCATCCTTGCAGGGGGATGATGACCTGATGACTGTGTGCATCGGAGAAGTATTCCTAGAGTTTGTCAACATGCTGCCAGCCTTCCAGACCTACTGCCTTCAGCAGTCCTCCTCCGTGAACATGCTCAACGCACTGGAGAAGGAAAAGGAGTTGCTCAGGTGAGAATGTGGCTACGTTCATCCAGGCTGTGGGGACAGAAGGGCACCAGGCTGAGTTTGAAGCCCTTGTCAGCCCAACTAGATCAAAGTTTGATGCTAACTTTCTTCAGTTGCCACTCTGTTGGGGTGAGGACAGTAATGTAATCTCCAAAGTTCTTGGTATCTCCACTGAGGCAACCGGTTGGTTCCCAGCTATGTTTTGTGGTAGCAGTGTCTGACCACTGCACTGAACTGTCACCAAATAATGCTCAACTGAGAACAGCTCTCAGTCCCTGTGCCAGAGCCCAGGTTGGATTTCCACTGGGGAAAGCCACCGTGAGGCACACATGATTTGAATTTGTTTCCCATTCCTAGCCCCAGCTTACTGGAACGTCAGGCAAATAATTTGTCTTTCCACTGCTCAGCTTAAAATGATGACAGTACCAAATTCTTGTTTAGAGTGCTGTGTAATCTGATGTTTAAAGGTGCTACAAATTAATATAATCTGATATAAGATGATGTATGTGCCTCGTGTCTACATCAGGGGGTACCAGGGAAAGATCACAGCCTTGCTATTTTACGATTTAATAGAAGACTGTTAGGATGCCGTGTGCTGGTGTCCCAGGCACCTCATCATGGTTCTGCAGCTGAGCACAAGTACAGAAATTATTGTTGGTCTCTGAGAAGACAGAATTCACAAGGTTGCAAAACCGGGGGGGGGGGGGACTGCAGTGCCCAGCAGCGCCATGCTGTTCATTTGCTTTTAGGATTGCAGCATCTGCTGGCAGGACAGCTACCATTTCATTCTCTCTTCTTAAATCCCTGCAGAATATTCCTCAATGTCTCCCAGAACGACAACACAGCACTGCGGCGGATGAACTTGAGGTCCTTCCTGATGGCCCCTCTGCAAAGAGTCACCAAGTACCCACTGCTGCTCAGCAGAATCATCAAGGCCACCACCGAGTACCACCCGGATCACGGCAGCCTGCGGGAGGCCAAGAGCCGCATCGAGTCCCACCTAGAGCACATCAACATGAAAACCAAGCAGGAGGGGAACACATGGACCCTCCGATCCTTTCGCCAGGACAGCAAGAAGAAGAGGGAAGTCATTAATATTGAGATGAGAGAAACTGCCCTCAAAACTGTTGGTTGGCTGCGGGAGGAAACGCGATTTGTGATGGAGGGGTCTCTGCAGCTGGCCCAGCCCCCCGATGGCCAGTGGGTGAAAAAAGGCAGCAAGACCCTGAAGTTCCAGAACATGCAGGTTCTCCTCCTGGTGAACATGAAGCGTGTGTCTGAGTCCAGCCTGGAAGCAGCCGAGCCAGGGCCTGTGAAGGATGCTGTGCTGGTACTCATCAGGGACAAAAATAACGGGAAGTTCCATTTGCTCAGGGAGCCCTTGAGGCTGAGTAATTGCATTGTCTCTACTGATCCAGACTGTGACGACACTTTTGAACTCATTGAGATCAGGAGGGAGGCGTTTGTGTTCCGGGACAGCGACCGGGCACGGACTCACCACTGGTTCAGGCAGATCAGGAGGTACTCCAGGGAGCTGGGCTCCTGGAAGAAGCGGCGGAACGCGCTGCCCAACATCATGATCAGCACTCCTCACACCAGGCCCTGAGTCCTGCACGGGCTGACTTGGCTTGACCAATGTCATGTGCAGAGACCATCAAGAGCCTCAGTGGCTTGAACTTGCTGTGCTCCGTGGACAACACAGGGAGGAGTCTGACCCCCAAAGACTCTTAACAGCACTGGAAGCACCACAGCCTAATGCTGGTCTCCAGCCTCAGGACTCACAACCAGTTTGTGACTCATGTACATACAGAGATGGTCTCCCCTCGAGGAGCAGATCACTAGAGGAAAATACTGTTTAACTTGTTGATATTGCACTGCAGGAGAATGATGTATGATGCTTGCCATTGCATGGATCGTGTTGAAAGCCAGTCTTGATGAGAGAGGTTTCCACTACTGACTGTATTTCATCAGCATTAGGTAAAGTCAGGGTCAAAATTAGGTGCAGTATTATGCAACAGAGGATGAAAGTTGAAGAAAATTATGTTTTCCACCACTACTCCTAAGGACTGTATTTCATTATTCACCTCTGTATATTCAGTCAAAATACTTGTTTAAAAAGAAAGGCCTTTCATCTTTAATCCACATCAAGTAGGTGTCAATTTGCTCAGATTCAGCTGCATGCACACAGCAAAAAAAAAAAAAAAAGAAAAAGAAAAAAAGGCAAAAAAAAAGGCAAACATGAATAAAAGGAGTTTTTGCTCTCTGACACATACACTCCACATATGTGTAGAACCTGTGGAAGAGCAGCATACCCCCACTGAAAGTCTGTTATTTAACTGACTTAGGGACTGGAACATAATGCTGCATCTGAAATATCTCAGAAGTATATGTAAATACAGCTCTGCTACCACTGATAGTGAACTTAAGAGTTTGCAATTATTTAAATGATGTAATCTAGTGTATTTCAAAATTTAATTGAAAGGAACAATTTACCTTGTACTGTAGAGTAACATAAAAGGTTTTAATAATTATGTTTCAATTACTTTAGGTGGGTGTTTTTTTAAAATATTTGTACTCTGGAGTATATCTTTCACATGTGGGTGGCATTCAGGTGAACAATGTGCCTACATCTACTCTGTGGAGGGGCTACTCCTAATGAGACTGGGAGAACAGTACAAACCTGCTACTCTAACTCTCACTAGACAGCAACAGACTGGCACAAAATCTTTTGCTCTGGCTGCAGTCCTGCCTGGGCAGGTCAGGTCTCAGCACACCAGACGTGAGGGCACAAAGCACTACCCCGTGAGGTCCAGCCTCTCTCAGTTCCTCAGCAGGGAAATGACTCGAAGCTGAACAATAGTAAAAAGGCAAACGGGGTTTAACCTTTTCAGCCTGACATTACCACTGACCGCTGCCTTGAGATTACAAGATCAGCAAAATGTCACGCTGCGACTTACACAGCAAAGGCCAGATTTCAGCCCAGGAGGCAAAATTAAGGGAGCCTAAATATTGGTTCATGGATCTTGGAGGACAGCCTGTAAATGTTCTTTCAGGCCTGCAGGGTAAAGACAAAGCCAATCAGTATTATTCAATACCAACACAGTATTTTTGTTACAGGCATTTTATTTTACAGGAGGATTCATACAAGCACATTTGTGTATTTCTCCAGAGATCAACCAGCATCAGTGGGCACCACATGAAGGCAGACAGAAGCCACATTCATAAAGGTAGCCCTAGTCTTGTAACGTCACCACTGACACAATCCCTGAGCAGGCCTCAAACTGTGCCCAGTGCTTTGTCCTCTGGCCACAGCTGCCAGGGCTTGTTACACTGCTCCAGGCACTGAGGCAGAGACCAGCAGTGAGACATGATGTGACTCATTGTATTTTCTCTTCATCTGCTGTATTTTCTCTTCATCTGCACCATCCAGCATTCTGGTGCTTCATTTTGTTCTAGAGGAAATGGAAAGATTTGCATCATCTGGAGGGTGCTCAAGACGTGAGGGTGGCTGCACATAGCTGAGCACTGTAGTGAGCAATAGCTGTCAAAATGCTTGTCAGGGCAGCAGCCTGGCTTCCTCAGGTGAGCTGGAATTCCCTCCAGCTATTTCCTAGTTGCTAGACAATAATTGTTTGTTCCCCAAAATACTGAACAGCCAGTGAAGAGCATGAGGCATTGCTTTAGTTTGCTGTTTGTTTTTCACAGAGATGGATGCCTGAGCAGAGCAGCTGCTGGAGGAAAATTTCTCTTATGCTGTCATGACAGATCTGCATCTATGAACCATCAAGCCCCATTCACCTCACACGTAAAAAGCAACAGCTTGTAGCACCTTTGTCTTCCCTGCCAGGATCACAATGGCCCAGCCATCTTCTGTTCATTACCTCCGGGGCAGCTTTGACAAGGCAAGGCATAGGTACAAGTAAGTGTAACAGATTAATTTATCCAAACAGCAAGTGGCTTTCACAGCCACACAAAGCTGCTGCTTTCTGGAAAGTTTTCAATTACTTTCCAGCACAGTGATTTTCTCCACATCAATTCATGCTCGAAACCAGCTGTGGACTGTTTGTACAGTCATATCTTTCAATCAAGATACCTTCAGCCAGCCTGGCTGTTCAGAAAGGTTAGAGAACAATAAGTATATGTAAAAGGTCTGATGTGTTTGGCTGATTGTTCAATTTGTTAGATTCAGGGTATTTCTAGGTATCACAGGAAGCACCTGCCTGCCGGGCTCCAAGTAACCATGGCCTATTTCCTCTGAACCAAGCAAACTATCCCCAGAAGAGGGTCCATAAATAATCACAGGGTGTTGAGTTACAAGCAGGACATGTACTTGGTGCTGTAGTCCTGTCTAAAAAACCTGTGGCCAGGGAACAGTACAAGCCCTTTGATCTGAGACAGCCTGCTAGGGGAAGTGACAGTGGGATTGTTGAACCTGTCAAACCAGACAGAGGTTGTGCTTCCAACACACGTGTTCCTTTTATGTATCCGATGTGTACACAGCTGCTTGGCTGCCTGTAAATTACAGGTGTCGAAAGGGAACTCGAGCATGGAACAATCCCTATGGCCCTGGAGAGCCCGTGATGTGGGGTGAGGTGGCACAGGAAGGGCGAGGAGTGCCAGCACACTGACAAGGCAGTAGATTTCCATAATCCTTAGACACCTTTCTGAACTGCATGATCCCACTCCTGGGACGTTCCAGGTCTTTCAGCATCACGTGTACATGTCTTACTTGACAGCCATGGAGATTAGTTGTGCTGTATTTTTCCATTTCTGATTAACAAACTGACAAAATGCTATTATAACCCAGGGTACTTGGGAACAGAGTCTGTAAGCCAAGAAAGCAATTATTTGTTCCAAACTCCATCATATTTTTATGCCTTTCATTGTCATGACTGACAAAGTACTAAGATTACTTTTCAAGACTCCTGCCCACTGAACTTACCCAGCTAGTACAAACAGACCTTTCCCACGTCACAGGGAATAAGAGAAAGTTAGTTACTCCCTTGATTTATCAGAACTCAAAAATGACCTTTAACAAGAATTTAGTCTAAGCCTTACTGGTCATTTACCAGGAAAACAACAAAAGGCAGTCTTTATTTATAGAGTTCATATAGTTTTGAGTTCTGAAGGCAGACACACAAGAAGACAAAACACTGGATTAAGAGCCCCCTGTGAGCTCAGGTCCCAAGGAAAGAAAGAATAGCTCCTTTATGAGTCACGAGGCTGGGTGGGAAAGCCTGAAAAAAACATGGGGAGATGAAAAGCAAATACTTTAGAGGGCAGAGACTTCTGCTTTGGTGAACAGAGATCTCCTTTATGATGTCCTTGTACATTCCTGGTTGTCCTTAAGAGAAGTGTGGATGGGGAAGGGGCGTTCAGTGTGGGTCTCCACTCTGTGATCAAGAACACATCTGAAATGGAGCACCAGCTTTGGTCTGGCAGCAAGAAGCTACTGTAGCTGTCACTGAGGACTGAGAGATTGACCCCAGCACATCCCAAGTTCTGAAAAGAGCTCCAAGACCATCTCAGATCTTCTGCCTTCACTGCACGTGAATTTATAACACAGCAAAAATCCCAGGAAAGCAGATCTCCAGCAGGAGATTCTGGTGAATCTTGCATTCTCCTGCTTGTCCCTGACATGCTCAAAGGGAAAATAATTTAAATCTTTGAGAACTATATCAAAGATCCCTTCAGAGCTCATGGATGAGGCAGCTGTAGTAACTCTCATTTTGTGATGTCAGCTGTGTCTCCTCTTAAATGCATGTGGGGGTGAGATTCAGCTGGAATTAGGTTGACATTCTCTGACTTGAAATTGGAAAAAACCTGAAACCAAAAGCAAAGGAGAATACTGTCCTCCCAGAGATCAAATAAATATTCAAAGCTCTCACTGTCATTGTTGAGTGACCTGTCACTACAGTGGAGTATGATGGAGCTAAAAGTCTTACTGATCAGGCAGGCAAAGGAACTGCCTTATATATCTCAGGCTGCTGCAGAATATCAGTACAACTGGAGACAGGTACAAGCGTTATTAAAAAAAAAAAGTTTTGACAATAACAGTGTACAGTCCAAAATAAGACATCTCCCTCAGGAAGTTGAAGGTGATCCACTAAGGGAAACAGCATGATGGAAAAGTTGAGTGATAGGAATACAGAGTTCCTGTTCTTCAACAGATATGGAAGAACACTCTGGAGGAATCAGAACACAGGCAAAGCATCCTGCAGCACCAGTCTCTGCCCAGGCTTGAGCAGTTACACAGCTGAAAAACATTGAAATGCTGGCATTAGGCTTTAGATCCATTAGCAGGGATTAATGTAATGATAATTTGCAACTCTCCAGCTCAAATCTTGCCCCAGTGTGATCTCCACTACTGCAGGCTTTGCATCCCTGAGAAATTATCTTGGCTACAAATGAGAAGATCCAGTCTGCACACTGGATAGAGACCTTGGGAAGGTTCTCTGCATAGAACCAGGCAAAGGAATCCTTTGTTTCAGTGTAAGTGGAGCCCCAGTGGTTTTGAACCCTTCCCTCTTAGTGCAGGAGCTTCCCTTGCAGATCCTCGGGAGGATCCACATCAAACCTCTCTCTGGGTGGAGGGCTGGGCAGATGGGAGCGGCAAGCCTGGAGGTCACAAGAACATCACAGAGCAGATCCCATGACTGATGCCTGGGATAACCCAACTGTGCAAAGAGCACAAGGCCTTTATAGCTCTGGACCATTTCACATGGGCTAAAATCTTGGGTTGAAGTGACAATAAACAGGCAGTGACACCTGACAGGATACCCATCTTACCTAACTCATGCCAGACCCACATCACGCAGACAAGAGACATATACCAGATAGGACTCTTCCTTCCAAAATCAAACACTCCTTTCACAACACTCCATGAATTCAGGGGGGAGGAGGCTCTGAACAGCCTCTACACACTCTTCAGTAGAGCTGCACTGCAGCATCCAGCAACAGGCAACACTTTAATGAGGGAAGATAGACTGCTGGTGAGTAACGGGTCAGCATCCACGCACAGACCCTTGGGGTCACAGACCCCCTGCTCTCCTTAATTGCCTTAGTGTGTAATGAACTCACTGGCTGAAAAACTTGAGTGAGGCTCTATAGCACAGAAGTTCTCACTTTCCTCACAGTGAAAAGAAGACAAATTATTTACAAAATAAAAAGCAGTTAAATTACTGGAAGAAAAAATCAAAGTTTACCACATAGTGTTACAGGTCAAAGAATACTTAAAGCTGACACTACTCAAAGCAGGGAGAGGAGGAAGCCTCCCTCCACACACTGGTACAGCATGTGGAGGGACTGTGTGATGCACCAGATTGGGAGCAAACGCTGCTGAAAACTAAAGATCAGTTCCTTGATCCAGTTCACTGCACAAAGATGTTTGCTGGGACCAGAAAAGGGCAGCCTGGAGGTGATAACGTCCTTTAACAAGTGCCAGGTTAGACAGGTGGCTGGACCCTGGCTGCAGTTAATGAATTCCAGCAGGCAGAGCCCAGTTCAACAGCCAGCCCCAAGGTCTGCTCTGCATCCTGTGCCATGGAGCTCTGCTCACCCCTGCTTCCCGAACCGTTTCAGGTCACCACTTCCATTGATCTACTAGGCTTGAACAGGCAGTGCTATAAATAAGGAGCAGTTAATCAACTACTTAAGTGCCCTTTTTACCGGAAAAAAACCAAAAACAACAACACAGAAATGACGTCAAGATGCAAAAAAACCCCAAAAAGCAAACAAAAACCAAATGAGTGAATACAAAGATGATCCAAGAGAGTGCTCCTGGGAATACACTTGAGGCTGAAGTGGCTCCGGGAACAGCCTTGCTGGCTGTTGAATCACTCTCAGTGCTCCTGCTCTGACTCACTCCCCTCCCAGCTGCCAGCGCTGCGCAGTCCATTCAGTACCAACAGGAGTTACTTGTTCAGAGTTCAAGTGCATCTGATTCATCATGAGCCATCAAGCCTCTGCAGTCCTTGGAGCTCACTGCCATTCCCTGCTGGCTAGCCTGTTCCCATTCCCCCTGGGAAAGGGAAGGGTCAAAAAGAGACATCTCCCCATCCTTCCAGGTTTTCCTTCTTCCCTCTGCTCCCAGCTCTGGGATGCAAACACAACTTATCATTTAGGATCAGGGTACTGTGCAGATCTACAGTCAAGGCCACAAGATCCTACAGGCTACCTCCTTGCTGCAGCCTAGAAAGAATTACTGGTTTTCTTTTCCCTTCTCCAGACCCAGCTTGGGAATGCACTGTACAGCCTGGCTCTTGCCAACGATGCTTTTTCAGAGGAAGATGCTAGGCTCTCTCAAAACCTAGGAACAGCAAAGAACAAGGTGTTTGCTAACACACTCCAGGAACACAACACAGGAGTGTCTCTTTCTCAGGCACTTGCTCTTCACAGAGCCCTAGACAGAAGGATCCCACACTTTGCACCTCTTAAGCCCTAAGTAAGAGACTTGCTCTTCCAGTTGACCCTCCCATGGTCTCTGCACCTGTGACACAGCACTGCTCTATGTCCACCCAGCTCTCGGAAAACACTGAGAGATGCAAGAGCTGGCAGATCTGGGATCTACTGAAAAGCTGCATTAGGCACATGGGATCCTGTGTCAGGAAGCAGATCTGTTGCATGACCAAATGCAATTGGAGTACCTGGGACATAAGCCATGACAAAGCCTTAACTAACACCAGCCCTGCAACCAGAAACCTGCCGTGCCCCGTGGCCTCACATCCCAGTTCCACATGCCAGGAGTCCTCCAACCCGAGACACCCCAAACTGTTGCTCAGGAAACTTTTCTCTTATTCCCCTGCTCCCACACATTTCCTGTGTGACCTTGATCTACACAGCTGTGTCTCAGAGCCTCAGTGTGTTGTTTCACCCCACGTCTCTGGTTTTGGCAGCAAAACTGGCTTAAGCTCCTTCCTTCCTCCCACCTCCACAGAGTTAAATCCAGAAAGGTGCAAACAGTGGCACAGGGCAAGAACAAAGAAGTACTTTGAAAGCTGGTCTCATTGCCATAGGACTCAGGAAGTTATATCCTCATTTTCTTCAGTTGTGAAAGAGGGATATTACCATCTGGGTATAACTTAAATGCCAGTGTATCAGAACAGGGTCCCAGGAAGGGAAGCAAACA